ATAGTAGATAAACCAGTGCATGCCCTGATAAATCCCATGTCACTGAATCTAATTTTGCACCAGTAACATGGGCAAAAATGCACTCTTTACCCCTAAACAGTAAACACGACTTAGATTATCATCAGAATTCACAAAAATATATAAAAAAAAATGAAGAAATTGCTTCCTTTTTAGCATCTAACGGGACAGGTAAAAACCATCCTATTCCCACCCAGAGGAAGCTAAAAAATAGCAATTAAATTAAATTAATTCGGTAGAACCCGTGTTTAAGTCCTTGCCCGGACGAGTGGGGACGGGATAGGCGAATGCGGCGACATCTTGTGGGCCCCACCACTACCGGCCATCATGATCTCTTCCAGCCTACGTGATGACAGGCTAATTTCAAGCTTCCGGCCCATCTTCTTCCCCATGGGCCTAGACTGGCCCACAAACTTCCTTATCCGGCCCAAGGCCACCGCCAACATCGCATCATCCATGTTCGCGAAACACACTCGAAACCACCCAGCCTCCGGGCAGTGAAAAGAAGCCCCCGGCGACACGTTTATCTTCACATCATTGACAATCACGCGCCAAAGCTCCATCTCGGCCTCGAAAGTGGGCTCCCTCAGCAGGCCCCTCAGATCCATCCAGCAGAAAAGCCCAGCATTCCCCTTCAGGCACCCGATCCCCAATTGGGCCAGGCCCAACGTTAGCACCCTCTGCCTCGCGCTCAGCCTCTTCGCGCTCTCGCACAGAAACCGGCCCACAAACTCTTCGTCTGACAGCATAGACGCTATGAGGCGTTGAGTCTGGGTTGACACGAGCCCGAAGCTCGACATTTTTCGGGCGCAATTAACGACCCTGTCGTTGTAAGAGTAAATTACGCCGACCCTGAATCCGGGAAAACCTAGGTCTTTTGAAAGGCTGTAGACGATGTGGACCAGATCGAGATTAATGGGCTCCTCGGTCTGTTGGGCCTGTTGGACGACTTCAGCTATGCTGACGAAGCCCGGCTCAGAGAAGACGGTGGCGGAGTAGATCTCATCGCAGATGAGGTGGATTTTTTTGGAGTTTGTGAATTTGAGTGACTCTGTTAGAGTGTCCCCGTCGATTATGGTGCCTAAGGGGTTTGAAGGGTTGTTGAGGAGGAGGCCTTTGACTTTGATGTTTGACTCACGGGCCTTGTTGTAAGCGGCCTCGAGGGCTTGGCGTGTGATCTTGAAGTTGTTTGAGCTTTCGCAATTGACGGGCACGAGTTGGATTCCGGTTCGCCATGTCAGGTCCCGATCGTTGCTGCATGATATACATGATTTTTGTGTTAATGGAGGTATAAGGATATGAGCAAAAATGGAAGTGCAAAAGTGGGTTAAATTGTATTTTTAGTCCTGATGGTTTATGCCATAGTAATTTTAGTCCCAAGATTTTTACATTTCACCTTTTAGTCCAGTAATTTAATATTTTGTTGCAATTTCAATCACACTCTCAAATTTTTAGATTTTCGATTAGCAATTTAAATCATGTAATTTTTAATTTAAAATTTTGTTGCAATTTCAGACCTCAAAGGACTGAAATTGCAGCAGAGTATTAAATTATATTACTAAAAAGGAAATGGGAGCGTTAAACCAACAAGACTAAAACTGCATTTTTGCTTGCAAAAGTGTTGCTTTGTAGATAAATTCAAAATGACTAAGTGAAGTTATTCGAATATCATGAGTATAATTGTTTCAGGGAATATTACATTAACTAGGAAGTAGTTTTCATGGCCCCTCCAAATTACTTGCTTGGGACAATTTGAGCAAATAATTATTACAAAAACCAAACAACTATTGGGTCCGTAGAGTAATTAGATCATTGACTTTTGAGACACATGATACATATCCTTTTAATGAAAAAGGAAAAGAAAAAAGAAGCACTTACCCTGGATAATATGGTATTGGCACCAATAATGCATCACCAGGGTCAGCCAAGCAGAAGGCCAATGTCTCTTGAGCACCCGTTGCACCGCCACTCATCACTATACGGTCCGGGTCAAATCGGACCCTGTTTCCTCTCACTCTCTCCATGAATCTAGCAACAGCCTGCAAAAAAAAAAAAAAAATTGACCATTTTATTAATAATCGATCGAGTCTAAATTCGTTCGTGATTTCTGAATCTTGAAATGTGCAATCTAACTTAGTACATTTCTGAATTCGGGCAAGCCATGATAATCCTGAAAAATCGCGATATCCTTGAAGTCGCTTGCACCTTCTGCTGTGCAGATTGAGGCCTTTGGGTTGTTTTTGACCCATTCTTGGACTAAATCTAATGAAAGCTGCAGCACATAAAAGAACTCAAAGTAAGAGATTAGCTTTTATTTTTTCTANGAGAAAAGATTGTTACCTGGTTTTCTGCTAATCCCATCTGAATAACCCCATTTGGGTTTTTTGTGGGGTGATAAGGATTACTGTCGTACGCCTTCCAACCGTCGAAAAAGGCAGAGTTTTCTCCATGCCCGTCGTTGCTTGCGATTCTCGATAGAACCTCCATTTTCCGAGCTCAAGGGGTTCTTAGTTTCAAAGTCGAAAGTTAGAACTTTAAGAAATGAAAGAATGAAAAAATGAGAGTTAGGTGTGTTTTGAGAATTGTTTGAAGATGTTTTTGGGTACAATTTTAATGTGTGTAGGCAAAGGTTTATATAGTGTTTAGGAATTGAAGTGGGTTACCAGTGTTCACATCAGACGGTGTTAATGAAGGTTCCTATGGACACCCCACACGAACACTTGATAATAGTTGTAGTTAACGGAGGAATTTTAAAACATATTGCGTCTTTGGCAGCAGGCGGCTTTGAAAGTCTAATATATCCCTGTGATCATAAGTGTCAATTGTTTAAAAGGTCGTTTTCATTGAAAAGTGGAAATCTTGTGAATACGAGTGAGCAAACCGAGCCGAAACAGAAAAACTTAGTCGAACCGAGCTATTCGGTGCGGTTTGGTTTGATTTTTTTAATGTAAAAAATTTCGGTTCAGTTTCGATTCAGTTCTTTTCTACATTGCGGTGCGGTGTGGTTATATTTTTTCATAAGCTCGGTTTTCAGTTTTGTTCGGTTTGGTGCGGTTTTGCACCGAACCGCACCAAATTGAATAAAATGTATAGAAAAATCGAGATAAAACCGAAAACTGAACCGAACCGTTCGGTTATTTCAGAGTAAAAAAATTCGGTTCGGCTTTTTTCTAAGTTGCGGTGCGGTTCGGTTATTTTTTTCACTAGGTTTGATTTTCGATTTTTTGCTGTTCAGTGCGGTTTTTCACCGAACCGCACCGTTGCGCACCACCGTGAGATGACATGCCCGTTTCTAGTAGGGCTTGCGCTTTTTATGAAGGACTCACAATTGGGGACGTATTAGAATATTCACTTGTGAGTTGTCTCACATCGTTTATATAGGGAAAATACACTTAATTTATAAGTCTAAGGGGCTACTTCTCCTTCCACTAATTGGTTTTGGGATTGAACCCACTTGAGCTTCATATGGGCTTTCCCTGTTTGTGCGCTTCATCTGCGTGAGACCGCATCCGTTTTCTTCCCGTTTCTTACAACTAGTGTGTACCCCGTGCGATGCACATGAACAATATTAAATTAACAATATTATAAATAGGTCTCGAGTTTGAGTCACTCGATAGCAGAAGTGGAAACTACTATTGATCCTATTTAAAAAGAGAAAGAAAAAAATAATTATAAATTAAAGAGAAGAATAAACAATACTTAATAATTATAAATTAAAGATTCGGGGTCAAACAATGTAAAACTATTTTGTATAAGAGAAGATGAAATTTACATTATTTTGTATAAGAGAATATAAAATTTGTATGTTTAATATTAAAAACACCTAAAATATTATATTAGTATATGTAAAAGTACTCAGAATTTTCTATATTATTTTTGAAAGATGTGAAGTCACCTATAACTTTTCTAAACAATTTTAAAAGGAAAACATATCTAAAAACATTTGAATTTAACATTGTGTAAAAAAGATTTTTTCTAGACTATTTTGTAAAGAAAACATGTCTACAAATATTTAAATTTAACATCAATTATGTATATGTGTATATGTATATATATATATATAGACGAATATGTAAAAAAAATGTTTAAACAATTTGTTTAAAATATCTAAAATATTATAAGCATAATTTAAAAAAGACATTATGTCAGATGATACCGAATTTATGGCGTTACTTCCATCTAAAAAAAATTGATTACACACCATTATTATTATACTTTTTACGTTGTTATCGAGGATGTATCGTTAGCTTATAATATTTGTAAAAATATTAGTAATTAGACCGATGGAAATTAGCTTTTTAAGGTAGATAATGGATTTCTAGTAGTAATTATGAATTGTTTTTTATTTTAATTTATTTTTTTAAATCGTTATAGATAAGAGATGAGATTTTTTAAGCTCGTTAGACATATGCAATGGGATTTTGTAACAGGCTGTATGCAGGTACATGCGAGATCTAATTCAACCGATAAGAGATAAACTCTAGATTTATGCTATGAGATTTTATAACGCGATTTTCAATACGGGAAAAGGAAAACTGATTCTAACACAATTAATCTAACAGGAAAAAGGAAAACAGACTCTAACACAATTAATCTGTCGATTTTGTTCCCTTATCAATATTGTCCAACAATTACTATATATAGGATACATTTAATGAATTTAGCGGGAAAACATTTCTAAAATTGTAAAAATGTTATTCGTTTTATATAATGATAGATTTAAAAAAGACATTATGTCAGATGATACCGAATTTATGGCGTTACTTCCATCTAAAAAATTTGATTACACACCATTATTCATATACTTTTTACGTTGTTATCGAGGATGTATTGTTAGCTTATAATATTTGTAAGAATATTAGTAGTTAGCCTGATGAAAATTAGCTTTTTAAGGTAGATAATGGATTTCTAGTAGTAATTATGAATTGGTTTTTATTTTATTTTATTTTTTTAAATCGTTACAGATAAGAGATGAGATTTTTTAAAGTCGTCAGACATATGCAATGGGATTTTGTAACAGATAAGAGATAAACTCTAGATTTATGCTATGAGATTTTATAACGCGATTTTCAATACGGAAAAAAGAAAACAGATTCTAACACAATTAATCTGTCGATTTTGTTGTCTTATCAATATTATCCAACAATTATTATATATAGGATACATTTAATGAATTTGGCGGGAAAACATTTCTAAAATTGTAAAAAAGTTATTCTTTTTATATAATGATAGATAATAACAATAATAGTAGAAATAACAATTACTAGGATAAAATTAAGATTTATATTAGACTATTAAGAAGTTATTTTTTCTTAAAAAATGCGTATTTTCATACTAATATACCGTGTAAATGCTTCAATCGGTTCAAAATCCTCCATTTAACGGATTCAGTTCCTTTACACCGTAATGGATCCGGCTAATTGGCAGCTTCAATTTCAAAACAACTATTTTTATTTTTTCCCATTTGGTTTATCCAACTCTGAAACTGGGTGCAAACACTTCACTTACCTGGGATAAAGAGTTGTTTGAGGCAAATGGTAGGAGATGAAAATTTGAAATGTTGCTGGAGCTTTTTGGAGAAGAAGGCAGAGAAGCCATTCTCAACATCAAAACTCTAGATCCTGATAAAAAAGACATGTGGGTGTGATCTATTGACTTTATAGGGTTATTTTCTGTACCAGGAGCCTACTCTTACGTTATAAAAACAAATATAAGGATTTGGATCTGGCTGAGGGTAGCCTAAGTGCTGAGAGGGTAATGAAGGTAAGAAAAAGAAGTTGGAGTCTGAAGGTCAAGGTGAAGCTGAAGCACTTCATTTGGAAATGCTTCGATGGTGTCTTACCAACATGCAAAAACCTCCAAGCTAGAGGGATGGCAGTGGACCATATTTGTGGTAGTTGTGTGGAGGGGTTGGAAACTATTGAACATATATTCTTTTATTGTGGCAGGGCTCAAATAATCTGGAGGTTAGCATCTGTTTTTTGGGGAGGGTTAGGGGATGATTCCTTCAAATTCAAACATTGATGATGGAGTATTTGTTCCATAGATAGGAAATTAATTCATTTCTAAAGAAAGAATTTAGTTAACAACCTATATTTTATGGTGATTGTAGAGGTCGAGGAACTTGTGGAAGTTTCAGAATATCAGTATGCCTGAGAGAGTTGTGGTTGGAACTGCCCTAAGGGACTGACAACAATTTGCAGGCGTGTCTGCTGGTGTGAATCAGTAATCTCCAAGCTAGCTGGTAACTAGGTCTCGGGGGGGTTTAGTGGTCACTTGCGGCTTGAGGTTTTTGGTTCATGTTCTAGGGGGTCCAATTCATTGATTGAGTAGTTGTTTCTTGGTTCTGACTTGGAAGGTTTCAGAGTGGTTCTATCTGTCTTTTTATATTTTTATTTTTAACGGATAAACATCTCGGAAAGGTGGGGGATTAAGGCCGGATCTCCAACATACATTTAGTCAAGACCCTAATTGGGCTGAAAAAATCACAGGTCTACACATCTCCAAACAACAAACAACAAAAAAAAAAAAAAAATGACAAAAAGGAAAGAAACAGCAACCAAAACGAAAAGTTTGAACTTGGGCTGACAGGTGCTCAGGCGGTCAGTCTGCACCACAAAGTTGGCTAGAGCACAAAAAATACGAAACAACTACCGAAATCTGAACGAGCGGTAGCCAATCTGATCCATCCGCATAAGAGTACGGAGGCAGAGAGGAGCGTCGTCCGGGTTAAAAGTCTGCCTATAGGGGAGTGAAGGCACTGATGCTTGCCAGGTAGTCAGCAGGTTGATTCCTCTCTCGGAAGATGTGCGAGATACGGTAGCGAACCAATGAAGTGTGAATTTGATGTGCATGAGCGGGTGCTAAATCTGCCACGAGTCCTGGTGGCCCGAGGTCAAAAGGATGGCGACATCGACAACATCCAGCTCAATCCAAATGTGAGTAGAGATGGAGATTGTAATCTGAAATCCCAAAANTAAAAAAAAAAAAAAAAAAAAAAATATGTATGCATAATACAACACGTTTTTTGTAATTCCTTTTCTGTTTAGTTCCCATTTTCCTGATTTAGTGAAACATCTGCCTACCCATTTCAGTTATTATGGGTCAACCGAGCCTAGTAATAATCTCCAGTGTTCGATAAATAATGTTTTGTTCAGCTATTTTGAAAAAATCGTGTTATTACATATAAATTATTTATATTCAAAATGTTGTATTTGATTTTTTTAACATTAATGTTTTGGGTAAAAAAAATTAATCAAATAAGTATTTTACCGAACAAACTAGTTACCGATTTGATAAGTCATACCCTCTAAATAATGTTCAATCCGTTAATTTAACTTGCATCCGGTAACTTCGAAACAAGTCCAATGTGAATGTCTGGAAGCCTTTAAAAAAAAAAAACGGGAGGATAAAATTCAAATTTTAATTATTTTTTCTGTTTTGATCATACAACGATAGCCTATCGTCGATAGGAGGTTGCACAAATTTGCTTGAAGACCATATAGGTAGTTGTCTGCAAAATCTATTGTTTGTAGAGAAGTGATGTGTTGAAGCAAAATCATTTGCTTCAAGTAGAATATAAAATTGAGTATGTTTAAAAGAGTGTTGAATAAATTGTTAAGATTTTTATTTTTATCTTTTTTTTAAAGAGAAAATACAATCAGAAAGTTAAAAGGCACTAGTCCAAATTGCACAAACATAGGGCATGATTGTATATAATTTGTACAGTAAATATCCCACTCAAAACTCAAATTTAACTCAACTCCACTATCTCTAATATTATCAATATAATTAAATAATATCAACCAATCATTCTTATACATCACATCAATTATAATTCACTATTCATCCACTCACATAATTTTAACTAACTATCACTTCCAATCATTTTCTCTTACTTTTACATCAAATCAACTTCAATTATTTTACTTTAAATATTATTTTAATATATCCACTAACAACTAACCATACTACTTTTTTTCTAAGCATCGGATTAAAATAGGATTCTACGTGGGTTCCATACATGTAAACGTGAATTTTCATCATAATTAATTGCAAAAGAAAAATGCCACCTTTTTAAAATTCACAAATTAAACCAAACCTTTTCTAGGTTTTATATAATACATGACTTTCAAATGTTCCAATTTAATACATGTGGCTTATATTCAGGCTATAAAAGAAGTTTTAAATTTACAAATTCATTTTACTCTATTATCCGGATCACTTTTTTAGTTCAAATTGTCTACTAAATTTGAGCACAACTTGAGTACTAAAATTGGAATAGGACCACCACCTAACTTTGCAATATTGAGGATGGAATCTACTTAGAAGACCTCAAATCATGAAGTTCAACGTAAACAGCTCACGTGATCGATTACACGGGTTTATATGGAGTATGATTTATCACACGTGATCGCAAAGAGCTCAATCGCGTGATCGAGCACAACTTGAGTTCTAAATACTATATGATTTCATCACAGGTTTAAAAAGTGAAGGAAAATAATAAAATAATAACCGATTTTAAATTTTAATCCATGAGTTTGAGGCTAGAACGGGAATTATAGAATTTTGACGGCCGTATATCGTTTTACCCTTAGAAGTCTAAAATATACGCCCAGTCAAATATTGATCGAGTTACTCTTTTTTTTTTCTTTCTTGTTATTTTTGTTTGTGTGTGTGTTGTCAAGCATGTCTTTTTAGGCTTTTACAACAATTTTCATTTGCGTCATCTATTAAATATGTTAAACGTGTCAAGAAGACAAGGATCATGGTCCATGGCGACTAGTGTGCTTCCGCAAAAGAATACATGTGCATTGCTTTAAACCTCCAAATGTTTGAACCTCCAATATTCTTATCTTTGAATATATATACATTTTATACGTAATAAATAATGCACGTGCTTGAAAAACATGTGCGTTTACTATATGCATTAGCGTATTTTTGTATATTTAATTTTATTGTATTTAGATCACTGTTTTAAATAGCTCGCTATAGAAAACAACTTACGCGAAATGCTGAAATAGCACGTTTCATTATGCTATTTTGCGCTATTTCACGCTATTTCGTGCCACTTTGCGCTATATTTATGCAACGATATTTAAACAATAAAATATTTAAAAAACTTGTATTTTTTAGGGATCAGAGTTATATTTTTAAAACAACTAAAAACTAAAATTTTTTATAATGATTTCAAATTAAAAGTTTAAAAGTGCAATGTCCTAAGTTGAATAGTGCAATATAAATACATATATATATATATATATATATATATATATATATATATATCGGTCCAGGTCTATTATATCATTATAATTTTGGGTATTTGACATTTGAATTTAAGGATAAAAAGTTCAGATCTAGTGGTTAGAATTAAAATGTAATTAAATAAAAAAATGAATTACAATGCTTATGCTTGAAATTAAATTATGACTTATCTTATTATATTTTCGTTGTTTAATTTGTTTTATTTTTAGTATGTTCGCTTTATTATTTAAATATTTATATTATGATATTAAACATTTGTAAAAAAGATTTCATTCAAATATTATGATAATTTTTAGAATCAACTATTCAATTTTATTATAGGCAAGTATATTATAATATTCCTACAAAAATATTTTTTTATATTCAAATAGCTTACGCAACACGCAACGCTATTTACGCTATGCAGTATAAAGACCAAAACGCAACGCATTTCGCTATATGCGTTTTAAAACATTGATTTATCTATTTTTTGACTTATTTATTATTTGGATGAATTTCAATGCTATAATGTTTTTATTAACTATTGAAATATTGGAGGTACTGCTACGGATGATGGGGGCATTGAACGACTCAAGCAGCTGGCAATATTAGATGCCCAAATCATTTGATTGAATTGAACATGAAGGCTGCCAGAAAGTTGATAAAAATTGAGCCCAAAAGTTTCCTTTGGGTTTATAACATCTTTCTATTATTTTGCACCCAAATGGGCCGAATACTATTACTCGGCAACCAAATGGGCTGAATCAATGTGCTGAATCAATGTTATTCTGTGGCAACCCGAATAGGACCAATAGTTAACAAAGTAGTGGATCTCAGGATAAGCCCAAGCACCCGAATGGGCAATATTGAGTGAATTCTCAGGCAACCCAAACGCCGAAAGCCCAAGTTCATGGATGTCAGTATACGACAAAGCCTTAATGGAATAAGCATCCCGTACAATGGGTGTAGCTGCACCTTGCACTCAAACAGTTGCATAGTCATTTCCTTATAGCCGTCCATGAAATAAATAGCGAAATCTCAACCGTCGGTTTAATCATCGCCAAAGAATGCAAATTTTAGGTTTTGAAGATTGCCCATCTGCCGCTGCTGCTATCCCTCCAACAGTTACCGGGTTGTTCCCTCCTCTCTCTCTTGGAATTTTGAGGATTTGAGGGAAGAGAGAGAAGAGATTTATTTGTAACTATGGCGTCGCCGGAAGCTCCCCTTCGCTACGTAGGTGTTGACCGGAGCTCCGCCGCCTTCCGGCTAATGAAACAAATGGTAATACTTCTCTTCTGCAGACCATTCTTTGTTTTCGTTTCAATTAAGCATTTAGAATCGGCCTTTAACATATCTTTAATTGATTTGTGCTCAAGCTGTCTTATAATTTAGGGGTTAACGCATAACCTCAGTGTGTACCAACAGAAAAAAATTATAATTTAATGCGATGTGTGTGGTTCTGCTCCTAAGCTTTCTGCTTTTGAGCGTACGTTATAGTGATAGAAACTTGTTTACATCGTATATGCTAGCAGTGATACGTGATCACCATGCTGTGGTTGAAGTTGTTATTAATACATTGATGCACTGAGATGATTGCATTTCAGGATTTGAATTTTAGTCCCTGTTATCTGCTTAATTATATGAGCTGATGCATTCCTGCCAATGATATTTGTAGTTTCATTATATTTAGAAGTTTGCCTTGCATGGATTTGTTATTTTGAAGCAACTCATTTACGAGGAATTCAGAAATGTTCCAGAACCAGTCATCTATCTGGTTTGAGTGGGAAGAAAAGCTCATGTTTTTCGAACATGAAAAAGTGGACAATCATTTCTTTTCCTCATTTTTTCTTTGTAGTGTTTTTAATTTTGCAAGCACTCCCAATGACTCTTTGTTACCCAATGTAATGCTTGTTCAGGGATGGGAAGAAGGAGAAGGGCTTGGAAGAGAAAAACAAGGTATCAAAGGATATCTCAGGGTGAAGAACAAACAGGATACTTTAGGTATAGGAACAGAGAAGCCAAATGCATGGGCATTTGATACCTCTCAATTTGATAGCATTCTCAAGAAACTTAAAGTGGTAAATTTGATCCCTAATCATTAACTTGTACACATCTTCTTCATTATTCTTACGGACCTTACCTTTATGTCTCTTAATATGATGATCTGGCAGCAAGCTGTTGACATCAGAGCCGAGAAAGGTACAGTATGCATACATATGAACGGGCATTTCACTTGGTATTTAGGCTTCCAGAATGGTATGTGCACTGGTCACTTGTTGACATTTTGTTTTTCCTTCATGTATCAGCTGACGAAAAAGATGGACAAAAAGAAGATGCAGAACTCAGCCCTTCTAAGGATAGTAAAGATACAGGTGCGAAGGTTACTCGACCACAAGGAAGGTCAGTCTCTTAAAGAGTACATGTGCTCTTCTATTTTTCTAACCATATGAAGGTATTTTATCTTGATTCAAGAGTTTCTGAATTCAATATTATATGTCCAGATATAAGAAAAGGGAGAAGGGGAAGCGGGTAAATGCATATTCATCCAAGGATCTTGAAGGAATCCTTGTAAGTGATGCATCAATATTTTATTAGCTTATTGTCATTTAGATAGGATTAGGACATGTTACTGAGCATATCGTTCCCTAGATATAGAGTTCTGAATATCTTATGGAACCCGAGTTTGTCTTTGTTTAGCCTTGGAACATTTTAAATGTCATGATGTAAAACTCAACAGCAGCTAAAGGTTCACATGTATTGTCTTGCAGTGCTCTATCTGGTTTTTGTGTTAAGTGTTTTCACCTCATTATGTTTTGATGAATGTGCCTCCTAAACTCTGTAATAAGTTTATGGCTTGCTCATATTATCAAGAATGCGAAGCCTGGTCTCTCGTGATAAATTTAGAAAATTAGCTTTACCCTGTACTCATCTTGTTATCTTTAATTCACTTGGGATGATCTGCAGGTAAATAGGACCAAGTCTCCGGAGGTTAATACTGCCAAGGAAGCGTCAGATGATGAAAAGTTAATTGAAATCCTTGTACCTGACATGGAAGGTAATTCCATACGTTTGGATAAGATAATAACCTAAAATCTGTTGTCTTTCTCATGTGTGATATTTCTATGCAACACCGCTTTCAATGTTTCTTTCCATTGCTATTGTTTACATACAAAGCCTCACCCAGTTTACTTCTGTTTGTGTTGGATGAGATTTGTAAACAATGGAACATCTGGAAGTTTGTGTGCACTGTTCTTGATATGCATTTATCTATATGCCATTATCTTCGCAATAGTTATTTACGAGTTCCTTGTTTTATTTTCTGGACTCCAATTATATAAACCTGCTCACGCAATTGTGGTAATAACATACTGGATCTTGTACCAGAATCTGGGGTTCCTTTATTGTCCTTTGCTCGAGCTTTCAGTGTAATAAGTCTGTAATTTTGTCTCTTTTTGTTACACTGTTTAAAAAAAATAACAGCTAACTGAACATAGATGTTATTGTGCTCAGATGCATTTGGCGATAGTGTATCCAGAAGATACTTAATTTAGCTCTTTTAATGTTAGGTCGTTCTGAATACATTATCAGTCACATGTTTGTTTTTGGTTTATGATCCATCACTTTGCGTTTGATTTGGAACAATGGTCACCTTCTCTTTCTAGTTATGGGACAGCTTCCTCTTCTCAATGCTATTATATTGTCTGTCACTGACGATAGCTGATATAGCTCATAATTATCTGAAAGCTGTTTGTGTCATGTTTTTGCATATTGATAGTTTCTTTATAAATTTCATGTTGTTTGCCATGCTTTGGTAATATTACATTATTGCGTTACAGTAATAGTTCAAGAAGTTCCACAAGATTGGTGGGGGCACAAATTTGGGTTTGTTACTGGAGGTTTGCTTGGTGCTGAATCTCGAAGAAAAAAGTCCCACGACAGGACAACATTCAATGAAGATGATCAAGAAAATCTTTACAAACTTGTTCAGGTAATGTTTCTGTTGTTTTGGACATGGCCCATAGGCGTGAAAACAAGGTTCCACCTAATTTGATAGACAAGGAAATTGATTGCGTGGCAGTTATCCTTCCACATTTTCGCCATCTTTTGCATTTTTTCTCCATAGATTCTGGGACTAGAGATTTACTGCTGACTCTCCCCCTATTTCACATGGAATTGAATTATAATCAAAACTCTCTGTGTGTCTGTGTGTGTGTGTGAGTGTGTGTGTGTCTGTGTGTCTGTGTGTCTGTGTGTGAGGGTATATATATGTGACATGTCTACCAAATATCTTGAAACGGATATGCTTTGTTTTCTTAGCTTTACTGTATAATAGGGTACTCTCAAGACACTTCTTTAATGCACAATGCAAGATTGCATAGAAGGTAAGAATCCAAAGGTGTTGGGCAATGCTAATGGTTTAGTTTGGTCAATGGAATTTGATCTGCAATTTCATCAAATTGTAACTTCGTAAAAGGAAATCATCAGTGGGCATTTTATGTGGATTCTTAAGATGCTCTGCATATGATACTGCTGCAATTTTTTTTCTCTGGATTGCATAAACAATTTATGCAAAGTGATGATATTTAAGAATGCACATAAGTTATTTGGCATTGTTAATTGAGATTTGTTGTTTATATATATATATATTATTGTAATGCTAATGTCTTCTGATGAATCAGGCCTTCGTGTGGCCTTGTTATTGAAAGTTTCAGAGAAAGTCCTTTTTTTGGGGTCTTAAATATGTTGCTGCAATGCAAAGAATGGGATATTTTATCGATCTAAAAATTAGAAAAATTAAGCAAAAGCTTTTATGCCAAATTTGTGTGTCATTTTCACAAAATAAAAATTACGTCTTGAAAACTTAGATCTAGACCTGCATTTTCAGGACAAGGCCACATCTGGCAAACAAGGGCTTGGTATCAAGGACCGTACCAAGAAAGTTGCAGGGTGTTACTTTGAAGGAAAAAAGACTACTTTTGGAGACAGCGATGATGAGGATTCTTCTGATTCACGTTCTCGTTCTTCAGCGAAAAGGAAACATGAAAAAGTTTCAGACACAGATAACATTGTGGGGCCTAAGCAGAAACTTAAGAAGTTGTGCAGACAACTTCTTCGGCAGGTCTTGCTCTCTTGATATATATTAATTACCTGCTAATTTTGGTTGACGTTGCTGTTAAAGTTTTGCGTTCTGAGTTGCTTCCTGGTACAGGCACCCGGGGAGTCATTAAAGCTGAAACAGCTCAAAGTTCTTATCGATGAACATTCACCTTCAACATTCTCCAGCTTTTCCTCAGACGAGTCCCTTGCCTTTTTAAAAACCAAGGTACCTCACATTCTCCTAAGTTATGGTCATACTCCTAGTTTAAGTATCTTGAACCTGTTGAATTACGGTGACTTCTTTGTTCTCCTGCAGCTTGAAAACAGCGACAGATTTTCAGTTAAAGGGAAGAAAGTCTTGCTTACGAAATGAAGCTGATGAGTTTTTTCTGGCACCTTGTTGATCTGTAGCAATGTGTACACGGCCATGAAGAGGTATTCGATAGAAATAGTTGTTTCAGTTATGGGACAGCAACAGTATGCGTTGTGAAGCCATAGTGATTTTATGTTCCATTCTTGGTCGGGAGTGGAAACATGTTTTTAAATTTTATGTAATTGTTTTCTATTTTTTTTTCTTTCTTTTTCTATTTTTATCCTCATGATCAAATTTTGAGCAGATGAGTTATTGATATAGTGCTAGTTAAAGAGTCAAATGAGTAGCAAATCTGTGAGCTGACAGAAAAATAATGTTTGATTCCGGTTTTCAGACATTTACAGGTTATTATAATAATTGTTAAGATATAAGAATTCATTGTTGCCTATCAGATGCCATTGCGGCATTTATTTGTTCTCACAAAGGTTTGAGCAATGCTTCATTATCTGAACCTTATATGGCCATGTTTTGCTACTAATTATACAATACAAGGTGCATATTTGAAGGTGCATAATATTGCCAACCCAGTTGGATTCTTTCATAATAGAACCCAGAAGGGTGATCAGTGATAAGTAAGTCAATACATGTAGTGTCAAGTACAGAAATTGGGTATCTTTTTAATGTCATGAGAATAGATGGAAACAACTAGAGTAGGAAACAACTATTCGTAAAAAGTAAATTTGCTCCTTTTTTGGATACTTAAAAGATTATTATAAAGAAGGAATTCTTAGAGAAAAAGACTAGAAAAATTGTAAATCTCATAAGTTTTTTCGGGTAGTCTTTCAAATAAGTTCGTTGAAATATTTATTTCAGTTGACTTATCACTTAATTTTATTACATTTTTATTATATAAGCTATCTTTTCAGCCATAAATTATAAGCTATCACATATAAATGAAAAAAGTCACTTATCAGTTATCAGCTAGCTTATAAGCTGTCAGCTAGGTTTATCAAACACAACCTAAGAAAAAAAAATACAAAATGAAAAATAATCTCACCTTTTTTTTTCGTTATTAATAAAAATTAATTATATAAAAAATTTAATTTGGTGTAATGTTTTTAAAAGAATTCTTAATTTCTCTCTCTTTATCTCTCTCTTAATTGCCCCGTAGAGAATTAATAATAAATTAATTAATTCTTAATATTATGAAAATTGAGCAATATAATGCTTAAAGTAAGGAATATCCTATTTCTCATNTTTATTTATAACTATATAGTTTCTTAGAAACGAAAACAATAACAGGCATTAAGAAGAAAATTACTTACATTGAATAGAATAATATTCTTGATAGACAACAATTTTTTAGGAGACATTTAAATAATTAGTATTGAAAAAAAAAAGAATACATCACACAATATTGAAATAAATACAACATAAATAGATAAATTAAAAACAAACATGAAAGTTTAGTACTATGACAAATTGAAATTGCTATCCCTTTGACCAAATGTATTGTTGATATATTTTCTCCAAAATTCATGTCTTTTTAACTTAAATATATGATCGAACTATATGATCTTTTATGGAATTAACATCTTCAATCATAATTTTATTTTCTTTCATTTCTTTTAGAGTATGAGACTTAGTTGTTCGTTTGTCTTTTTCAACTCATGTGATGAAGTTTATTGTATGAATCTTTCATGGTGTTGATGAATATCAATGAATCATCATTATTTATCTTTTTTTTTTTAATTTTTTTATTTTAAGGTTTGATCTTTCTTCACCTCAATAAGTCTTTTAGAAGGAGAATGATCAACAAATTTATTCGAGTCGTCTAAGTTAAGAGAAAATGGAGAAATGGCAGAAGATGTTCCTCGATATACTTGAGAGTCGGGTTTTCTCACTCCAAAGAGGGTTATTGACCAATTTTTTTTTTTTTTTGGCTCCTCGTAGCACCATCATTAAATATTTTTTTAAAAGTCTTCATCGTATCCCAAACTTGATCATATTTTCATGCGAAATTTGAATTTGGAATCTTATGTGATCAATACTTTTGCTCTAAGCATCTAAAAATTGTAAATAATTAAGAATAGTCAATATAAATAGCATATTTAAAAATATAATGAGATTTTAATACCCACTATATCTTAAATAGAAGCAACACTTTGATGAATATCTTCTACTGCTTTTATGCATGCATGGCCTCTATTCGATTGTTTGAATTCGTACTTGCATAAATCTCACAGTACAAACCTCGGAATGCTCAAGTGTTTCTTAACTGAAAACTTCTTCTATACTATATTAGAATCGATCAGATGATTGATACACTCCAGTAATTTGGTCATGAGAAATTTTCATATATAAACCCAACATAAAAGGATATATTAACCGTGGTTATAGAAATTTATCGGATTGATATTCTTACAAGAAGTTAAATGACATCAAGTTTCATCATAGAGAATGACAATGTTGTGATGCAGGTACTACAACACAAGATCTTTTTTATATTAAAAAATATAATATCTGCTCAAAGATATTTACAATCCTCAATGATATGATTTGAAAATAACAAACCTTTCCAAAGATTCTTACAAATCTCAATTTCGAAATGACAACTATCTGCAAAGTTCTCATATCTCTCAGTGTTTGTTGTTTTTGTTATTATTATATTGGAGACTTTCATTCTCTCGAACAATACATATATTGATCCCACTTTGACTTCCACACACTCAAGAACGTGCCAACCATCTTCCCTTTAGATAAAGCTCAAAAAGAAACCGAAATTTCAGTTATTTTATTGAAGNTAACATAATTCAGCATACTAAACCTACGGGGAAAATAACATGTAATATAAAATAAAATAAGAAAACAGGAGCAACTGGCATGTTGGGCCTTCGGGTTGGGTCATATTCAGTTGGCGTCACAATCACAATCACAATCCACACACACCCTAGCTCATCCCCCTAACAAAAGAAAAAAGAAGCAAAAAGAAGAGGTCAATTATTGAATATATATTTGTTAAGTATTAATTAAATGGCTACCATGAAAATAAAATAAAATAAAATAAAATAAATCTTATTTAGCTGCTCATCCAGCGTAAAATTTTGAACGGAAACGCGGCCGTGACTGATGTAGAAAGTTAGTGTGTGTGTGTGTGTGTGCTGAAATTTTGAAAAGGCAGGAAGAATATAATATAGATTAAGATACACTCCCCCACACGCTTATGCCCATTACTTTCCTTCCTTTACCCATTTTTATTATCCCTAATCTAGGCACATGTCCACATCCTAATCGACAATTGAATAGAAAATAAATACGCATGTATTTATGCGGTATCAATGTATGTGTATGTACGTGTATACGTATCCCTTATATATAATTCGATGAGATTTAAGTGGCAGACTCACACGTTTCGAAATTTTATGTGCTACATTTTTAAGCTTTGTTGTTTGACTTAGACAAAATTTAATTTATTTTCAATTCAAAAATAATTAGGGTTTGAATCATTGTCTTTTCACGTGTATCTCTGAATAATTGGCATAGATACTTTTGGTTTCAGCATGGTGATACATTAAGCACCATCTAACTATGTTTCGTGGGAAAATTGTTGATTGACTAATTACTTTTGTCCAGAATTAAAATAATGAAATAGGCTTAGTTAGTCAACAATATGCACCAACCAATCTATACTTTTGGGGAGGCACTGTATATTATTTGCACGCATTTGAGGACAACTAGCTACTTTTAGACACACATAGATAGATTTAATGGAATAAATAACTTTTATGTCTGATTAGTTAAAACGCGATTAATTGATCATGGAAAAAAAGAACCATGTCAAACTCGACCCAAATTAAGTCGCGAGACCAATACCTATAATATTAACTAAAGAACTCGTGTCAATGTTAATAAATGTCTTCAATTTTTCTATATATTTTGATTCCCAGTTGCTTTATATTGGTAAAGAGAAAATTGCAGTTTTAGTCCAGTAACTTAGACTGTTTTTCACTTTAGTCCAGTAACTTGGGCCAATCCAAAATTGGTCCAAAAACTTCCAAAATATAGTTAAATTAGTCCAATTCCGGTCCCTGTCGCCGGAATCCGAATTGCCAACTCAGCACATTCCGATCGGATTCCGGCGACGGGGACCGGAATTGGATCAATTTAACTACATTTTAGAAGTTTTTGGACCAATTTTGGATCGGTCCAAGTTACTGGACTAAAGTGGGAAACAGCCTAAGTTACTGGACTAAAATTGCAATTTTCTCTATTGGTAAATCTCACCCTACATTGTTGTTTTGAGAGTTTTGATATGTATAGTTGTTTAACAACGTGTTTGACAATCAGAGAACATAAATGCATCTCGTGAAAATAGTCAATAGCTAAACTAAAACGTTTGGCCGAAAATTAGACAGAATTTCATTGAGTATTAATTAGTTTACAGTAAACAGTAAAATAGAATCAATTCTTCGAAGAAATATCAAGCGAGTAGTGATATAAATTTCGGGTCTGGATGATTTTTATCCCTTCTCCTTCATGTGAACCTTCATATTACAAATAATAAAATCACAGCATATATATTACAACCATTATTCATTTAATAGTCTACTAAATCTAAAAAATACAAAGTGAATAAAATAAAAATAATACGGTTTAAAAACTGTGTCCAGTAAAAAAAAAATTATTGTGAAGAGCCAATTAAATGAAACTCGCTGGAAATTGTTGATCTAGGGTCATTGTGCGGAACGTACAAGAATTAAAGGACAAAGAAAATAAACCGAATTATTCATACTTAATAAATTAAAATTTAGGCATGGAAAATTAAGAGAGGTTGAGTGGTCCCAGAAATATAGTCCATTCTCCTATATCCCCCGAAATATACGTTAAATGCAAGTTGCATGTAAGGATTAAGTTTTCCAAAGGGTCCATAGTCCATCACCGCTTGAAACTCATGCGTTGAAATTAAAAGTACCATATATGTAGCTAGACCTCACTACAATGAATAGGATTTGCAAGTTGCAAGACGAGATGAAATGGAATATTTAGAGCCTGATTGGATACAAATATATGTTCAATACGATTAATTTTGAAAAATATGGTATAATTAGATATTAGTGAATGTATAAATATTATTTAATTATACTGATAATATTGAATATAGTGAAGTTGAATTAGATTATGACCAGAGATTGAGTTATTTTATGTATAAACACCCCCTTAATATAAATATTTATGCACACACCAAATTTAAATTTAGTTTAGTTGTATTTTTAATGAATATGTAAATGGATTGAGTAGTCTCAAGATAATATTATTTAAAATTTGGTATATTTCTTATATGACATAGAAATCATATGTTTAAGTTTATTAATTGCAGATCATCCTGCGAGCTCGAAATAATTTGGCATTTTCACTTATCCGTTTAAGATAAAAGATTGAATAAAAGATAAATATATAAAAAATTGTGGATGAATACAAAAGATCGGCAAAATGAAGACATAGCGTTGTCGGCGGTGAGCTACCGTCCGCAGA